GGACGCTCCGCTCTTTATAGGCTATGGGGAGAGGGGGAGTGGAGCTTTTTCCCACCAAAAACTGTTAGCTTGCAATCTTCCGGCCAAAGGCACTGCGCAGGCACAGCACCCATATGTGTGATGCACAGAGGCCACGACGAAGAAACATGTATTTTTCAACCTGACACTTTGCAATCCACCTGCAAGAAGCATTCATCCTTCTCAACTGACTGAGCTAGTTTAGCCCATTATACAGGCAATCAAAAGTGGTTTCCCAGTCACAGTCAGCAGTGCATCTTAGGCTGGACCTTGGAGCCAAATCTGGAGCCCCACCTCCACAGTCCATGGGGCACTCAAATGACCAGACCAAAAGTGGAAGATGGTAAGGCAGCTGCACCCAGCCCTGCTAACAGCCTTGGGCTCCCACAGACATGCCTCAGGCCACTGGGTCTGACACTGCTGACAAAAAAACGATTCCTCTCTTATTAAAATTGTAGTTGGGGGATGGCCAGCCAGACATGTATACTTACAGATGCACCATTTTGTTATATTTTCTTTAAAACTATAGTCTCCTTTTCTACAACAAGTGGTGCTTATTCTCAGGTAAAGCATAAGGGCAATGATTTCTTGTGGCCATCGAGGAGTTGCAATTTAAATGAGTTAAAAAACTGTGAATTATCAGGATTGGCAAATGGATACAACATAGCAGAAGTGTGGATGCCATTTGAGCACATGTGGGACAACAGTGAATATAAGCTTGGAGCTGAAGGAATACAAATGGACATCTGGGTTTGCTCCACAGCACCCTCAGGGACCAATAAATCCAGGGTCTAAAATTACCTAGCTACACCACTGATCACAGTCAAAGAATCAGTGTATGGTGGTGAAAAGTAGCATGACATAGCAGTCCACAGATTATTTTCCCCCAAACACACCAATTAGATTTGCTTTATAAGACTGTTGCTAAAAATCAATGTCTACTGTCTATATAGAGAATGGGTGATGTTGGGCTATCATAAGAAAGCAAATGAGCTAGTATTGAAGGGTTGATTCCACCAAATTAGGGCTGCAGTCCTACACACATTTACCTGGGATTAAGTTTCACTGACCCAAGTGGAGTGACTTACAAGCTGAATGCACGGGGTTGCACTGCAAGGCACGAGAAGTGACCCACGTGAGAAGCTTTGTCAGATCTAGAATTATCTACTTTAGCTCTTGCAGAGATCAAATGAAACCACAGAGAAAAGTTATGAATTGAAGATAAGCTGGATTTTCTACCAACCTTCTGGCAACTAATTAAGCACAGCAAAAGCAAAAAAAAAAAAAAAAGTCAGGAATTGTAGTGGGGACCATGAAGCTCAAGTCAGGATTAGCTGAAACTCAAGCACTAGCTGACAACAGGATAAACAGCTTTAAGGACAGATTACATGTCATTTCTTCTGAACAGTATTTGATAGATGGGCATGCTTATCTCAGTCCATATAAAGACTGTGTGAGGCAAAGGGGCCAAACCAAGTTGTATAATCTAGCATTCATGGCAGATATGTAAAACTCATAGAAAAAGGAGAGTTTTCAGATGTCGCTTCATGTAAACTGAAAATTATAATTCTTGGTAGATCAAAGGAAATCAAGGAAGTGACTGCTCAGTAATGCAGTCTTCTGTCTAGGCCAGCCCTACTGCTAGGCAGAGTGAGGTGGCTGCCATTACATGGCAGAAACTTGAGGACTGGGATGAGGAGTATGCATGTGACGTTTGTACTTCCTAAGCTGCACTCAGGCATGGTGGAAGATGCAGTCCCATCTCCAGTGCTCTTGTGTTCTGGCTCCTGTGCATGGAATCTGTGTACAGGGATGGGGAAGAGAGGTATCACCTTGCAAAGATATATTCCACATATTTTCTGTAAAGTTTAGGGTTACAAAAGACAACCACAAAAATCTTTATTTAATCTTTTAAAATAAACAATAAAATAAGTAGTGTCATGTATGAAGCCAGGTTCTGTTACAGTAAAAAAAAAATAGATATATATACAGTTCTGAATTACCTAGTGTGGCTTTTGTAGTGGAACTAGGGATGCAAAGATCAGTCCGGAATCCAGTTCTCTTGGGCTCACCAGACTTCCTTCCCACATTTGGTCCTGGCCAAGATGTGAACCAAGTTGAGATCAAGTTCACAAAAGCTTGGGAACACTAGTGGCTTCTTAGTGCAATGTATGCAGAGTACATAATTCTTTGTGCAAATATGCAATTTATGTAATTCCTTGTGCAAAGTACACAACGCTCACAAGTCATGTGCACAAAAGCAGAACTCTGCTTGAGCTCGCTTTGTACCAGGTGCCCACACAAATGCTCAGCATAAGGTGGGCTTAGAACAGAAAGAAAGAAAGAAGGCCAGAGTCTGGGAAGCCAAGCTGAGGAAATTGGACACTTCCTCCCCCAAACCAGGTTCCTCACACATCTGTAAGAGGAGCCAATTTAGAATTCTCCATTACATCAATTTTAATCAAGCAGCAAACTATTATGGGCTGTCGCTGCTTCTGTCAGGAAAAGTGCATCTGTGGTTGTTGTTGCTACTGCTGTTGTTGTTGATGATGATGATACATATTTAGGCAATCTTTTGAAGAGACTGCCCCAAAGGAGTTTATGATAGTCAATGAAAAAACATAATAAAAGCATGTAAAATATTATTAAAACCTAATAAAATCACACAGAAAATCACTGCAACAACACATGGTAAAATCAACTGGTTTACTGATGTTTTTCAAGTAGATTTCTGTTCTGATAAGTGAATTCTGTGGCTGTACAGACCTTCTTCAAATCCTTCTAGAGCTTTTGAATGTGCAGGCACTCCTGTTGTTTGTTCAGGTAAACAGAGGAGCCTGTCAGTATCATACTGAGCAGGTGCAACATGATGGAGAGAGAAAGATGGTCCAGAACTTCTCTGAATGTATGAAGGCAATGACACCCCTAAGATTGAATATGTGTCAGGTCATCATCTTTCTTCGGGAACATGAAGCACTAAGAATAGATGGTTTGATGGCAGAACAAGTACCATGAACTCAGTGGCCATGCATGTTTGTCAATGGTTAACGGAGTAAACACTGACCTCAAATTTTCCAAGGGAGGCTTACCCTCCACTGAAAATATATTTGGAGGAGCTACAAGAGCTTATTACCTGAGTGAAGCATGAACTCCAGAGGAATGACTGTGGTGAGCCTGTTTTGTAAACCTCTGGCAGTCAACAAAACACTCCATGCTGTGTCCCTCACCTAAGACAATCAAACAAGTAGTGGCTGTTTAAAGGAGATACTTGAGCAGCACAACTATGGTGCTTCAGGAGACTTGTCCACCGCAACAGAACTACCTGGACCACAGGGACATTTCCCCCAGTCCTGGAAAAACTAAAGTAGTAGGATAATATTACATTCTAGGAAAAAAACTGAAAGACTGGAGAAACTCAGTAAAGAATGCTGCTGTGGATCTTCTTGAACAGCTGTGGATAGCTACTAACCTCACCAGTCTGGGCATGTAAAGAGCTTGCAGAGAGAGGCAGCAATGCCAGCTCCTTGACTACATCTCAAGAAGGCTCCAGATATGCTCTGGGCATCCACTTCAACTATTAAAGCCAACCAACTCATTATAAAATAAGCAGTGGTCATTCCTGCACATTAGGAAGTAACATGTGAATGGCTGGTCTAGCAACTAACAGCGACACTATTCTAGCACTGCAAGCAGGCACACTATCAAGAAAAATTCTTTGGATCATACTGTAAAATATCAATGGAGAATCCAAATGGAATACACCAGCTCTGGATCCTGTTTTTAAGAAAAGTTGGAAGTGCAAATTGCTTGCTTACCTTGGGCAAGAAGCAATCACACCTAGAAGAGCAGGAAAAAACCACATGCAGCCACACTACCTCCTATTTACATGCCTGCTCTTTTCTCCATGACACATTCCTTCCTGTGAGAGAAAGGGTGCTACCACCATTACAAAAGCTATATGAAACTCTTTTGGAAAGTATGCAGCTTCCATAGTGCTGCACTGCTCCTTTTCTTGGCTGGGAAGATCTATGCAGGACTATGCATAGATATTTGGATATTTCAAGAAAGGTCTAAAGTCCCAAAGGGAGGAAACACTGAAGGCCAGGAAACAGGTAAAAAGTGCACTGCTTGACAACAAAGAACAAAACGAAGCATAAGGAAACATGAAGGATCACAGGCATGCTGTTAAGGGCAGGTCCTTCTTAAATTAGAGTCAGTAAAAGAGGAGGATAGTTATACAGCTGCACAGTTCAACATAAGTTTAAATCCTTTTACATACTTGGTGATAGCACTTCCAGGACAAACACTTCAAAACAGCTGAATATAACGAACAAGGCCATTTTAAAACGACATGCCAGTAGCTCTAGGAATAGGAGAATGAGTGAAGTTCAAGTTCATAAAGTTTATCTGATTTCCACCTTGAAGCCTGAAGTTTGGTTCACCTCCTTCTCAGTCCCAAAAGCAAGCTTGCCATTGTTGTTCAAAGGAATAACTGTGCACTAGGGCAAGCTTTTTTATTTAAATGATTCACTCAAATGTGTATTTCCCCCTATTTAGTCAAAATATTTTCAATGAATACATGCACATTTTCAAACTATTACACGTGTTCAGACTTTAGTTGTGAACACATGTATTCATTTCAAAAGGCACATCTTTTCTATGGAAAGCATTTTGGGAATGCAAAATATGTGAGCTTTGCTCTCAAAATGCACTCCTGTTTTACCTTGCAAGCTCTAATGTTTAATAGAATGAAACTGATTTTTTTACATCCTTAAAGCTAACAAAGGTAAATATAGATACATACAACTTGAAAGCAGGTGTAAGCCCAAAAGCAAAAACATAAGGAACCAAAAGGAAGCCAATGCCCTAAAAGTAACAACCTTTCAGGTGTGCCAGAACTCTGCATACTGGGGTACAAATAAGTGCTTGTTTCCGAATCTTTCACATCATTGCATTCTTACTCTGCTTGGTTTAATACTCACAGAAATATTGTATGCTGGCTCCAATGTCACTGGCACTGACATCTTCCCTTGAAGATTTAATTTGGTTAAGTAAAATATCTTTTCTCCCAGAATCCTCTCTCTTTTTACACGACGTATGCTGTACAGTCTAAAGCGTACTGCATAATTCCCAATCATCTCAGACTCAATATGATTAAATTTAAATGTCTCTGTGAAGACAGGGCATGGACCCCGCTGGATGCTGGTTTTTGCTCTCTGCTTCTTGATAGGAAGAAGAACCAGGTGTACTTGCCATAAACTTCCACTTGTCCTGCTATAATTTGGAATGTCTGTGACAGCTGTCACAGTTATGAGAAGCCTCTGTTCCTGCGAGTCATAGTCAAAAGTCACATCCAGGGTGCCATATTTAGCTTCTGGTTCAGGATCAAAAGATTTAGGGAGCTGTGATGATGATCCTCGAGCTGATAGATCCTAAATGAAATTGAAAAGAGGTTTTGCATAAACACATACCTATGTAGGTATCTATGATTCTGCTGAAACATTTTGGCAAAAGTGCTTATGTGCATTCACTAAAATTAAAATACTTCTCAGTGGTGCGATCCAATGTTTTTATTCATTTCACACACAGTGTAATTGAATATTCATAGAAAGTCATGCTGACAGCCAGCCATGAGACAAAAAGATGCCTTTTCAGCTGGAAAAAGGAACCAATCAGGAAAGAGAGAAGAAAGGATGGATAAAAGGCTCTAACAATAAGGTCCAAAGTCTTTAACAGAGAAGTGCTGGGAGAAATTGCAAGCACAATATTTTAGCAAATGGAAAGAGAGAAGTGGGAGAATTACATGGGGCTGAATCACATTATAAACCATTTCAGACTAAACAGATGAATAAATGATCTGAGAAGCAAAACACCTTTAATGTTGCCTAATATCTATTCAGGAATTTTATTTCACTGTCCATTATCCATGCTACCTCAGCCTCTGCACTCTAAAGTTGTTAATATTCTAATGTAATAGACTTTAGTAGTATAATACGTTGTAATGCATTTTTTACTCCGCTATCAAAGCACACATTTTTAATAAAGACAAATCATTTCAAACAGATTTGTATTGACATGTTTGCATAAAATTTAATAGAAATAGAAGACAATGTGAATAATATAAATAACATATTAATATTATATGTTACTCATGCAATATTATAGAATAAATAATAACCAACTCTGTGAGCTAGAACTTGTACTTCTAAGGGCCAAATTAGGCAAAACACCATTCATGCAGATAACAACTCCATGAATAGCTTTTGTTAATGGTGTTTTTGTTAAACACCACCCTGATGTGTTGGCTGGAGAGAACTTTAAGACTCTGCTTAAAGCTGCAATCTTGATCTAGCTCATGCTACTTTCACCTATTTGTATGGGACAGAAAGCTTACATTGGCCAATCAGTTTTGGCCCAATGCATAGTTGAAAAATATCCAGTCACATGCTGTTATCTCATTAACTGATCATCAGACCAGCCTAATATGAGTCAGGCAACTCCCAGTTTTGAGCTTGGTTAAAAGTCCTTGTCAAGTTTATCTGGCAGCAACATCCATCAACAGTGGCACCTATGACACTCTAAATCAGAGTTGGTGAGAAAATTACCCACCATGCCCAGATGAATATCATTTTGGGGTATTGTGAGAAAGTAAAAGGGCAGCAGCAAACCACCAGGGTGCTGATTCATTGTTAGAATTTTTTTTAGGCAGGACAGTGTCAGCCCTACCCAAGGCTAATGTGTACTAATGTCAGGTGAGACTAAAAGGATAGGCTAGACATGCACATGGTAGACATGTTGTGAGTGGAGCCAGCTAGGTCAGACTAGATAGCCCGGGAGACCCCTTCTGACTCGCTCTGTTTCTGTTGCTAAAAGCCACGCTGATTCTTTCACTTGGATTGCATTTTTTTTAAAGCTAACCCTAACTCTATCTGAAATATTTCTCAAGGATTCATTCCATCTCCAAAGTAGTAAGAAAACTCTATTGTACTTGAAATTAAGCTTCCATATTAACATGAATGAGTCACACAAGTATAGCAAAGTCTCCCATTGTTATGGTAATGATTATTAATCTGGATTGCAAAGATCTGAATCAAAGTTTTCCATAGAAAACACAGTAGGTTTTAAAATACAAAAAAGCCCATACCTATAAAACCACACCTTTTATAAACTGCACATATGGGGGAACTGGAGGCAGGAAAGAGGAAGCGAAGGGCACCCTGATCACAAATACAGTATCGGAGGGATGTTAACAGAATTCACATATACCTGCAGTTTTGAGTGCTGCTCTAAGGTTCACCTTTAGTACTAGAATACGTAAGAGAACTGTATTCTAGTTCTAAAGGTGAGTACTTTTCATATACCGTATTTTTCGCTCTATAAGACGCACTTTTTTCCCCCTCAAAAGTAAGGGGAAATGTCTGTGTGCCTTATAGAGCAAATGTGTGTGTGCCCGACGCCCGGGACACTGCCGGCCGCCTGCACCACGTGGCACCACCTGGCCGGGACGCGCTCGGTGCACACTGCTCCACCCCCCCGGCGCAGGTGAGAGCTGTGCCGCTCAGTGGGAGACGTGCGGAGGAGGAGGAGCCGCGGGCTTTAACCTGCCGGCCGCGTGGAGAGACAGACTGCTCACCCCCACCGCCCGGGAAGACCTTCCGCCTTCGCACCACCCGGAAGACCACCGCCGGCATGCTGCCGGCCTGGCTGCACCACACTTGGCTGGCACGCGCTCGGCGCGCCCTGCTCAGCCCCCCTCCTCCGGCGCAGGTGGGAGCTGTTAATCACAGGTCGGTGTGTGTTTTCAAATGGCAACCCGTCTTTTAATGAAGCCCATGGGGAAGTGATGGGGAATGTGCCTGTGATTATCAGGAAGCTTTCCATGGATCCCTCCTCTAAAAACTAGGTGCGTCTTATGGTCAGGTGCATCTTATAGAGCGAAAAATACGGTAGTAAGAGAACAGATCTGGCAGCACAGGGCCTTCACTCCATCCCCATAATCTCCACATTTGGCCCATATTAATCCTCTTTCTATCAAGGACTCCACACCGTCAATACATACCACTGATGCTTTCTTGCATGCATGATGCAAACAGATTTCTACACCACTCTTTCCCTATGCAAACTCAAAAAAGGCTTTGGCAAAGGCCTCATTTCTGCTGCCCTATACATTTTATTTATTTATTTATTTATTTATTTAGAAAGCTTCTATGCCACCCCATTCGCCGAAGCCTCGGGGCGGCTTACAACAATACATAAATAACAACAATATAAAACAATATAATATAATTGGAGACGTCCTGGCCATACATTGGGAGGAGTAGTTTTAAAGATTGCTCAGCTGGTGCCAGGTAGCACGAGTGAGTTATCAGGTACTGCCTGAGACATACAAGAACAAGGCCAAATGAGCTGCCAGATATTAGACCTATCCAACTTCATTATGTTCTGAATAGTTCTGTTACAAGTGCAAGGCTGTTTACCTCAGGGCTAAGGACAGCAGTGCTATCGCTGGGTACATCTTCTTCGTATCCTTTGTTATGGAAGCTTTCTATTTCGTGCCCAGTGCTTCCTTCACTTGGGCACTTATATGAACATCTTGGACTGTTGCTACACTGAGAGAATTCACATTTGCTGTCACCAACTTCGGAGGGCGTGCATGAGAGGTGCGGAGAGCCACTATCATCTTGGTACGGTGGAGGCTGCAATTCATCAAGAGGAGGAGTTTGCCTCATTCTTTGAATGCAGTTTGCTGTGAATAAATGACAGTTATTATAAGCTTTCATTCTGCTGAGCCATATGGCTGGAACAGATAAACATTACTGTACTGAATTTTAGTAACAAAATAGTTTAGACCTAGGAGGGAGTCCAAATCTGGCACACAGGCCTGGTTGGTCAAGCCCACAGCATCTCAAGGAGCCCTCTTCCCTTCCCCAAAGCCCCATCCTATGATGAACAGGGACCAGGAAAATTCTCTGCTTTAGTTGACCATTGACTGATGCCATTTGGGAGGACATGCAATGCATTAAGAGGATCAAATGCTGCCAGGGGGCATGACACATCTATATGTACTCCCTGACCCTTTTGCTGTGCATCATGGATCCAGTTGCTTTATTCTGCCCTTCTCTACTAACTCTGCTCTTTCAAAATGATCCACTTCCAAATCTACTTCCAGTTCTTGCTTCATTATCTGTCCTTCTTTGTAGCACTGGGTTGAATTCCACCTTGTACCTGCTTGTTGCTTCCATGTGGACCTGTTTCCTAGGTGTGATCCTCTGCCCTTGATAAGATTCTGATTATTCTGGAGGTCTGAAGGCTTTCTTGACTTGATAACTTGGCTTCAATTATAATCTCAGTTCTGTCATTATGCAGTATGCTTGCTTGACCACTGCAGCAGAATTTAATGGCCCTGTCCTATATTTGGTCCCAGCCCCAATCCTGTAAAGTAATCAAGAACCCCAGTCCTTCTTGCAGGTCTAAAAATCTCTACAATGAGTCTTTATTTAATGCAACGAGTAACATATTTAAAATATTTTTACAAGACTAATACAGTTCTGTACCCACAGTACAGTGGGTATGCATGGTAACTTCTATACAGTGGTACCTTGGCTCACGAACTTAATCCGTTCCACGACTCTGGTCGTAACCCAAATTGATCATGAGCCAAGTCAAATTTCCCCATAAGGTTCAATGTAAATAAGTTTAATTCATTCTGTAACTATTTTTTTTTAATCACAAAAATTTGAAGCAAAGTGACAAAGAACAACAAAGATCGTGGCCATCTCCCTCTC